TTTTTTATTATCACTTCGCACTTCATCAGAAAAATAAAATGCAGAATAAGAAGCTCTACAAGTGCACATGTGATCGTATGTGTCAATATTTTCTATCTTTGCACAAGTGTTTTTTGTTCATTTTAAAGTTTCTCATGCTCCATCTAGTGGTGTGTTTTTCTTGATCAAATATATCCTAGAGGTAAGAACAAGATGAAACCAGAGAAAATAAACTTTACTTCGGATATAGAAAAAAACATTCTAGCATGATCTAAAGTTTCTCGAGGTTTTTTTGTGTTAGAACCAAGGCTATATCGATCTCTTCTAGATATTTTTTAAATAAATTTTTCAAAAAATGCTTTCAGCATCAGATGAAAGTAAATTGAAACCATGTTTGTCACGTATCATCGAGGCAATTGGTCAATGCATTCGAAAGTTAAACAAATCCAAATCAACTCCAACAGCAATCACAACCCAATCACGACCATCGAATGACTCGGATGATGATTTGGACTATACGCATGGTTCTCTCAATCCAAATATTAATATGATTACTCTGGACAAGGATGAAAGAGATCTACTGCACGAATTAACAGAGGATATCGAAGTTCTTTTAGACGAATGTTTTCCGTATCTTACTGCAACATGTTCAAACTCTTTGGCCGATCATTTACATCGATATCATTATGATCGAGGAAGTCAAAAGTTTTCTCGTCTTTTAACAAAAAATATGCTTCTCTCAATGCAAAAAGATTTAAATGGACTTTTAGGTACGTTACATAAAACGTTTGTGTGAAAATAGAGAAATACATGTTACATTTTTAGAATCCAGTGCGGCTTTTTCCGCTGCTGCAAATGGTCAATTGGCTGTTGTGAAAAAATTCATAGAAGAGTATCCATCATTTAAGAACAAATCTGTTATGGGGGGAACGACACTACTGTATATAGCTGCTTTAAACAACCAATTAGATATCGTCAAATATCTAGTAGATAAAGCTCATTGTGGAGTAAACGCTCAAAACTGGCGCGATACGGATACTGATGAATCATCGCCAGGAAACAATAAACATAATCCAATTCCAGGGTCAACTGCTCTTCATGGTGCGTGTGCGAGTGGTCATTTGCCGGTCGTCAAGTATCTTGTCGAAGAAAGACATGCTGATTGTTTTATCAAAAACCAAGCGGAAAAAACACCTGTTGAATATGGAGAACATCATTCGGATATAAAAATTTTTTTTCAAGATTATTTATTAACAAATTATTCCGATGCATCCACTGATCTACCAAGTAAAGCGACTACTAATGAAAGTCGACCAAAGCAAGATTGTATTTGGGAATATAAACCATTGCAAGAACTGATATGGCAGAAATGTTCCAATGATGAAGCTCAAGCACTAAACCAAGCGATGCTGTCAATAGACAAATTTCAAGTTAAAATTCCATTAAAAACACGTCAAGGTTCGTTTAATATTTCCCTAGTACAATTTCTTCGCTCAGATGCGGACGAGAAAAATCAAGCCTGGCTTCGTTGTCGAGGTTCGAGTGTACTCAGTTTCGATATTCAACCATTGTGGCAGCTAATGTTCATGCGATATCCTGAAGCAAGCTCAAAAACAACATCGTTATTGACCGTCTACCATCTGGATACCGCTTTCAATAGTAATTTTACTATCGAACTGAATCAATGGTATACATGTGATGCACGAACAAATTCACGATTGAACTTAGCAATGAATTCTCGTCGAAAAGTTATGCCAGTCAATATTCATCTGGGAATGAATGATGAATCTGTGGTTTGTAATTTACATGAATTTACATTTGCTACTGATAATAAAACCGTGGTGGGATACTTACGATGGGTACCCAAATTAATCTTAAATGATGAACGAAACAAAAATAATTTCAAAGAAATCGACAATTTTCAGTCAATGGGCGATGTGGAAACTGCTCCACTTACTACAGATCGTATGTCTGATGCCCGGTCCCGTGAAGATGAAGGACTTACAACTATGGAAGATGATATGGGTAGTCACTATGATGAAAGTGACGATGATGATGAGAACCGGAAAAAAAAGAAAAAGAAGGTGAGTTTATCCTCGTTTGTAATATGAATTTTAAAATGTTTCGATGTTTCTTTTCAGCTTTCGACCAGCACCAAAGGTGTATGGAGTGTGAAAGATATCGCAAATGGAGACAAATCTGACACTTCACAAACGGTCGAAAAGGATAAAGATACTCCTCCATCAGAATTCGTTCCACCAGCAAAATTCAAGCATCTTGAACCGTCCGAAGACGAAAAGCAAAAGTTAAAAGAATTAATTCAACGTATTAAGGAATTACAAAAAGAAGTCGACCAACAACAAGAATATGAAAGAAATCTAAAAGAACTAGAGAAAAAAATTACAACAGAAACTGAATATGCTACTAAACCTCCGGAAGCAATGGAAACCTATTTACTCCCCAAAGGTCAACTAATCGTTAAATATTTAAACGAAAAACAAAAACTTCCTGATTATTACATCGACAAAATCCCGCGACTCTTTTTTAATGAAGATGATTTTAATTACACTGCAAGTTTAACTGGTCTTCCTACACATCATCATGAATTCGAATCATTATTAAAAAGAATTTCTCATTTAGCATATGAAACACAATGTACAAAATATAATTACAAACAAGAAGTAAGCAAATTAACCGATTCAGTTGTTACTATCATGACTAAACGTGTTCGATCATCCCAAACATGGAATCAATACGTGAAATATTTCATGAATATTTTAAAAGAAAAAAAAGAAAAACATCTGGAACAGTTCGATGAATATATCAAGTCGAAGTCGAAATTACTCACTGATCAGGCGATTAACGATGCCAAATTTGAATCGGCAAAAGACCTCGAGAATCACAAGGAAAATTACAAAAAATCGAAATCATTTGAACATGTTTTAGAGAAAATGAAAGTTGATGCATTGGATGAATTTATTAAAGAAGAAATTGTTCTTCCACGACAACAGTTGGAAAGAAAACCAACGAAAGAATCAATTAAAGTTTTGAATGACTTCATCGATGAAAAGAAAGAAGAAGTAAAAACCGAGCAAAGTTATAAAGGTCTAGAAGTTGAGCAATTCAAACAATTAGCAAAACTATTACGTACTCTCAAACTCTATTATAATTGTTTTCAATTACAATTACCACTGTTTGAATCAGCACCAGATTTAATCGAGAAAATTCGTCAAAATACAGTTACTACTATATCCACATCGACTGGATCTGGTAAGCAAGAAATATTTACAGGAATGAAAATTTGAATAAGATTAATTTTTAGGTAAATCAACTCTCTTACCAGCTTTACTAATTGCTGAAGGTTATGATAAAGTAATGGTGACTCAACCCCGACGCTTACCTTGCACAGCGATTTGTGAACGAGTCAATAGTACCATGACATCCAATGAAGAAGTAGAATGTATAGCTGGCTGGTCTGTCAGTGGTGCTGAAAGCGATGTTGAATCTCCGATTTTATATTTAACTGATGGTCTCTTAAGAGAACAACTCTTACATGATGAAAGTTTGATAACGGAACAAACCAAATTGAATAAATCGGTGGTCTTCTTTCTCGATGAAGTCCACGAGCGTTCAATTAATATTGATCTTTGTCTTGGACTATTGGCTCGTTTGTTGATTAAAAAACCTCATCTACAATCGAAAATGAAACTCGTTATTTCTTCAGCAACATTAGACACATCAGTACCAACATTATTTCGTGGAATTAAACAAGTAAAATTCGCAGAATTTACAATGCCAAAACTCGGTACACTCTATCCGATCAAAAAGCATGAACGACCTAACGATAATATCATCGCCTTAGTGCAAGAATTGAATAAGAAACGACAACGAAATGAGCAAATCCTGTGTTTCGTTAGTTCCGTTGCTGATGTACATCTTGGATGTCGTCTATTACAAGAAGTGAGCTCTGGTTCAATTATCGCTTATCCACTTGTCCAATCCCAATCAGCTACTGAACAACAAACATTTATCGAACAGGGTAGTATCTTTTTTTCTACTACTGTCGCTGAAACATCATTGACCTTTCCTCATCTACGATATGTCATTGATACTGGTATGATTAATACACCGATATATGATTTCAAAAAGGAACATACCGTCTTGGAACAAATTCGAGCTGCAGAATCTACGATTAAACAACGGCTAGGACGTTTAGGACGAACACAACCCGGTGATTATTACTCATTGTACGATTTCAAAGTCGAAGAAAAGAAATTCCCTATACCACAAATCTGTCAATCGGAATTGACCAATATTGAACTATCATTAAGAAAATCACCAGCACAAGAGGGTCTTAATCAATTCAAACAATACTTACCAGATAAGCCTTCACAAGAAGCAATTGATGCAGCTTTGAAGAAACTAAGACGATTCGGTATGTATTCTATATGACTATTTCATCCTATTAACAATTTTTTATATTTAGGTGTGATTACTCCTCCACCGAATGAGCGTTTTACTAAAGATGGTGAAGGCATCGCGAAGTTACCCGACTTCGATTCGGTAGAAATATCTAAAGCCATTTACTATGCTCTTACACGATACCGATGTGGTCGAGATCTAATCGCTCTTTCATCAGTGTTGGGTGTTTTGAATACATCAGCCATGCTCACTTCTTTACCAAATCGATTGAAATCTGAAGATGGTGATTTCATGAGCCTGTTGAATGTGATGAATGAAGTTTTAAATGCAAAAGAGTCTATGCCTGCTCATCAGTTCAAACTACGTCAATTTTGTCATCAAAAAGGTTTGCAAGCTGTTCATCATACTTTAAATCAAGCATGCCGACGTTACGATACGTTGCAAAAAACTTTCAATCTCTCCAAAGACTACCGATCTCAAGCACAAGTTCAAAGTGGCAACTGGGAATTAATTGCCAAAGCCCTTTTAAAGGGTTATTCCGATCATGTTTTTGTTTCTCTCAAGGAACTCCAAGGTCGAACACGTCGATTCACTCGTTATCAGTCGTCGAAATCTGACATTGATGTCGCAGTCTTAGATAGACAATCGATATTGAATCGTTCAATTAATTCATCGCCAGTTTCTCTAATTGTTTCTCGCGATGTTCGATACGCAACGTCGATACGAGCCTTAGCTGTTTTATCCTTTGTCGGGGAAATCAAACCAGCATGGATCGAATATGAAGTAGAACGAAAAATTCCTTTGAATGATATAGAAGAAGAAAAATTAGACAAAGACAAAATATTATCCGAAGCCAAACAAAAATTCCCGAATGTACAAATTCAGGTCAACCATGATATATTATCTATTAACGGGTCATCGGGATCTGTTCTCAGTGCGGAACTGTTTATCTTACAGAAGTTAGTAGAAGATATGAAAATTTCTTCGTCTCAAATTGCTCGCGGTAGTGATGAATATGGAACATTACAACGAAATTTAGATGGTCTGATGAAAATGCTTTACGTATTTAATCCAATGAAATGGCGTTGGGAGAATGAAGAACAAGTTAAAATAAATATGGAACAGTGTCCATCAGCAGAATTGGAAATTACCATCAAAGGACGAAATTCCAAAAATCGATTAGTACAAAAGGAATTTCTCACAACACTTAATTGGCTTCAAAATTGTCTAGTTATTCGAACACCAAACTCTGGTATGTTAGACATTTCTTTAGATAGATATGAGATAATATTTTCCTATTCTGGTTAACAGGTTTGCCTCCAAGATTACTAATCCCTCAAGTTCGTCATAAGTATCTTGACGTTGAAGAACGAATTTCTCATGTTACAGACAGTAAACGTACGTCAATTGATCTTTGGAATGCACTGAAAGGACCAAAAGCAACTCGTGAAACTCGAATGGAAGCGGTCGCTTGGATTGCTATCTGTCGGTTTGGTTGTAGATTGGAAGGTGGTTTCGTTCGCGATTGGATTGTCGGACACTATACCAATAGACCATTAGGAAAGCATGCTGATCCATCCACTTGGGTTACTTATAGCGAGAACACCGCCAAAGTTAAAATGCCAGCTATACACAAAGAAGTGATTCCAGCCGATTTGGACTGTCATTTATCTGTATTTAAATACTTCGATATCGATAAATTTCTTGATTTCTTATACAAGTATGAAATTGAATGTCGAGTATTTCGTGAACCATGGCGATATGTTTTACTCTTAGATGAAAAGACGAAAACTGGTCCATTTACGATGGATTTAATTGAGCCACATGTTGCATTAACTCATGATCGAATCGATTTCGATGTTAGTAACCTATCAATAGAAAAGGATTATGCCAAAGAACTTGGTATGCGAGTCGATACTGAACAAGCACCATACAATCTCGATTTGGAAACGATTGTCGCCCGTATTCGCCAGAAGAAACTACAAGTTTTACGTCCAGCTGATGAACTCTTACAACAACGACTCGATAAAATGGTTAATACTCGTGGTTGGCAGGTGATCAATCCGCCTATGTATGTCATCCCCCGACCACCAGGAAAACATCGAGTAGTTCTTGCTCCATTACTGCCTTCTTTTGATCTCTACAAGAATATTGCGAAACGAATGCAAGAATCCATTCCTAATTGTGTCGTCCTTAAGATTGAACAACTAAGAAACCCTGGATTAGAAGATCTTTATCTTGGAATGAAGAAACTGATTCAATATCAATGTAAAGATGGAAAAATCAATGAACGAGAATTATTTCATGGAACAAAAGGAGCAGCTATTGATGGCATTAGAGATTATGGCTACGATGATCGATATTCTGGAGCAACAACTAACCATGGTGGTGACTGGGGTAAGTTTAAAATACGTTATCACCGATCCAAGACCTTTTTCATTGATAGGTCATGGGTTATACTTTGCGGACAATCCAGGTGCTCACGTTCATTGGCACACAGCACAAAATGAAAAAGATCAGACTCGTGTTATATTTTGTAATAAAGTCCTGCTTGGAAAAATCTACGAAATGAAGGAGATAAAACCGGATCTGACGGCAGCACCAGTCAGTTATCATTCTGTCCATGGTACACATCCTGGTCGCCCAAATGACGATGAATATATTGTTTATCGTTATGGACAAGCATTACCATACTTAAAAATAATCTATAAAGTTTAAACCAGAACACTATATAGAATATTAATCATGATTCGTGATTTTTGAGAGACAACTTTATTAATAAAAAGATTATATGTATGATTCATTATATATTAAACTAAATAGATTTATCAGCATTATAGACATATATGAGTGCTCAAAAAAAGTATCCGACCATCCCCAATTTAGTCTATGCAAACACTTTATTCAAAAACTATCTTTAGAACGATGGACTCTTGTGAAACTTATGGAACGATAGTGAACTTTGTTTCCCCTACCTAATGACGGTATTTAAGTAAAAAAAACAATATGTTTCAATATTGAAAGTTACTTTTTGCGAAAAATCATGAGATTTCCGAAAAAAGTAAACCTCGTACAAATTCGGTGATTGACTAGAATTGAAAAGCCATATATGCATTTTTGTAAAGTAGTTCATGTCGCGTCGAATGGTATATAGCAAATCACACTTTCATCGAGTCTTGACGTGGTAAGAGTCCAAATATTGGTTGGGAGTTGCACAGTAAGTACACGTATACAAGCATCTCAGACCCAAGCCTAGTCTTTATTACTTTTCTTTGTTGAGAATATACACTAGACGAGTCCTCTTTTCAATGATCAATAAGCAGGAGTGTTCCTCATCAATCTTAGAAAAAAACTAAGGTCAACGACCTTTTCGTGAATTATTGATCAATTTTTCAAAGTCAACAACAGATTTGCATATATGCACAGAACGATTATCTCTACACTGAGCTTTTTTCGCATATATGGACTCTTACCATGCCAAAACTTAATGAAAATGTGATTTGCTATATACCATTGAGAGTGGGTGTAGGTGTGGGGAATGAATTCAAGACACTCACACCCACCCTCAAGATGGTTTAACTCTATGCTTCTGGATTCTATAGCTTCAAAGTATATCTTTTCGTAGGAAATTTTCTACTCTAACAGAATCAACAGTAGAGGTAATGATCATGTCAAGAAAATCAAATCAAATGCTTACAGATAGTGAGATCATCCCTTATGTCTCTCTTTACATATATAACAGTGCACAATTCATGAAATGGACCTTCAATCTATGATCTAAATGTTATCATTCAACGCAACTGTTTGTGCTTTTTTCAAGTGTGTATATTTCGTTTCAAAAGGGTGTGCGTGTGGGTGTGGCTGTATGACTGAAGACAAAGAGATGACACCCGCACCCACATCCTCAAGATATCCCGAAATAGTCACTTGATCAGATCTATCTACATAATGCGATCGAATTTCAAATAGTGCTATGTAGTTATTTTTTCTTGTACTCATCTTTGCCCTCCACACATTTCTCCATATTGATTTTTGTTCATTTTATTAAGAACACATGTTTACGTTTTTATTTATTCTTCGTACCAGACATTCAGAAAGTCTTATAAAGCACTAAGGTGATATGTATCACTGTTGCGTGCATGCATTTGGTGCTTGTTGTCCTCCCTCGGCTTTTAGACGCGGTTGGCAAAAGCAGACATGAACTAGAAAAATGTAAGAATGATAACGTGCAGAACCTTCTTCACTACCACACTCAGCAACATCTTTGCATGTAGCACCATCGCCTTTGATGAAACTCTTACAAACACCATCATTGCGCCAACGATCCCAGTCTCCATCTTTCCAAGAGTTAAATTTACGAATCCAATTCCAGGTCTCTTGATTCCCACCAATTTGCCAGTCAACACACTTGCCACACGTATTACAAGCACGGCCATCACAATTCAGTTTTTTACTTGTGCCATTTTGTTCGTCTAAATAAAAAGGTCAAATAGTGACAGAATTATACAAAACGCACATTAGAATTTTAGTAAAAGTATCTTTGAAAGAATCTGAGCAACCTGAAACAAACTGATCAATGATTCAAGCACAGTCCTGAATAAATGATCAGCACTCATCGATTTCGCACTTTTTAAGGCAATATTTCGCTGTATGATTTTGGTCGAAGACTATTTTATACCCTTACTCAAAATCTGATAGTATGTGTTCGTCTTCCTTTGTAAGTCATCTATTCTACTTCTATGTTGTGTCAATGTGACGAAATAGAACAACGTCAACACGTTTTTCGTTACTTCAAAAAAAGAGTATGCTTGTACTTTGACTCTCAATAATTATCTGGCTACGCTTAGTTCATTTTCTAAAACAAATTCATCTAAAGATCCCGTATACAGTGATATAGCTTTAATTTGTTCAAATGACATTTGTTATTTTCTATCAGACACTTCAAATCAAAAGTTTACTTTGTGATGAGTGTGAATTATTTGTATCATATCTACCTTCATGTTTAAACTAGTATAACAGAGTTCTTTTATTACAGAAAACTGGAACCAAACGTGTACTTTACGTTAACGTGAAATGAGGATTCTTTTTATGAGAGAGGTCATCAGTCGACTTCAATTTTTCAAGAACTAAGTCTTTTAATGAAACTTTCATCTTTTTACATGAATATTATTGGTAACCTTACCTTTTTTCTTATCTTTATTAGTAGTTGATTCATCATGATCTTCCAATTCAACATCTGCATTTGCGAAGAAACCGATTTCGATATCTTCCTTGAACTCTAATGGATCATTGTTGTCTATGGATGCTCTGATTTCGGAGACGTCAAAGCACCAGTAGTGATGGCCTTTGTATCCTTTTGAATAATCCACAACCACGTTACCGATCACATTTGCGTGATAGACGATTTGTACTTTCATGACTCCCCTACTTGCCGTAAGTAAAGCTTTTACTGATTCACCAGGATCTAACTCGACAGACACATTGGCAGTGGAGCCAACTGTGATGGTTTGACTCTCACTACCACCTTGACCCCATGCGTGACTGTAAGACATTGTAGTAGTTCCTTCGAGTCCTGCACCAAGAAATTGGACCGAATATTTGAAGCTTTGAGATATGTTAATAGTGTCTGTCTGAGACCAGTTTGTCGCTGTAGTGTTTTGTACTTCTTGCTTTATACCTGCGTCGAATTTGGCACGCTTTTTACTATTGTTCTTTAACTTTTTCGTGTCAACGATCGTGGGTTTAGAAGTGACTTCCAGAATTCTAGCGCTCGCAACCGTTAGTACAGTTTGCACTTCTTTCCAATCATATTTCTCGTAAAGATGACCGCAAGATCCGGATTTGTCGAAAGCAACCTTGTCTGGGCTCTTGCCGTGATGCTTCTCAACACCTTTCTTCAAATTCTCTTCCGAAAGACCAAAACTTTCGACCTCCTTCTTTGTAATGCCATGGATCAGAGTTCCTGTTGCCTCAACCAAGCTCTCGTCTTTGGTCCTTCCGGCTTTAACTTTTACGTCAATACCTGACATTCGTTACATGATATTCTAGTGTATCGCTGAAAAAAAGAAGGATATATGAATAGAGTTTGAATAATAGTGACTAAATGACAATGCAGAAACTATACATGAGTATTTGACATACTCAAGCACACAGTGGAAAGATGAAAACAGTATGTAAATATCTCAATATATAAACTGTTTAAGTAGCATCATATGTTATCCGAAACGCGATGAAACAGTTGACGGTGAACTTTTCCATTACGTTTTTCGCGTTTAAACGATTCTGTTCTTATGACACGAACTAATTCTGCATTTTATTTTTCTGATGAAGTGCGAAGTGATAATAAAAAA